AAACGTCATAGTATAATGAGGCATAAAAACATCATAGGATAGTAAGGCATAAAATGTCATAGTACATTAGGGCATAAAATGTCAACAAACGTCATAGTATAATGAGGCATAAAAACATCATAGGATAGTAAGGCATAAAATGTCATAGTACATTAGGGCATAAAATGTCAACAAACGTCATAGTATAATGAGGCATAAAAACATCATAGGATAGTAAGGCATAAAATGTCATAGTACATTAGGGCATAAAATGTCAACAAACGTCATAGTATAATGAGGCATAAAAACATCATAGGATAGTAAGGCATAAAATGTCATAGTACATTAGGGCATAAAATGTCAACAAACGTCATAGTATAATGAGGCATAAAAACATCATAGGATAGTAAGGCATAAAATGTCATAGTACATTAGGGCATAAAATGTCAACAAACGTCATAGTATAATGAGGCATAAAAACATCATAGGATAGTAAGGCATAAAATGTCATAGTACATTAGGGCATAAAATGTCAACAAACGTCATAGTATAATGAGGCATAAAAACATCATAGGATAGTAAGGCATAAAATGTCATAGTACATTAGGGCATAAAATGTCAACAAACGTCATAGTATAATGAGGCATAAAAACATCATAGGATAGTAAGGCATAAAATGTCATAGTACATTAGGGCATAAAATGTCAACAAACGTCATAGTATAATGAGGCATAAAAACATCATAGGATAGTAAGGCATAAAATGTCATAGTACATTAGGGCATAAAATGTCAACAAACGTCATAGTATAATGAGGCATAAAAACATCATAGGATAGTAAGGCATAAAATGTCATAGTACATTAGGGCATAAAATGTCAACAAACGTCATAGTATAATGAGGCATAAAAACATCATAGGATAGTAAGGCATAAAATGTCATAGTACATTAGGGCATAAAATGTCAACAAACGTCATAGTATAATGAGGCATAAAAACATCATAGGATAGTAAGGCATAAAATGTCATAGTACATTAGGGCATAAAATGTCAACAAACGTCATAGTATAATGAGGCATAAAAACATCATAGGATAGTAAGGCATAAAATGTCATAGTACATTAGGGCATAAAATGTCAACAAACGTCATAGTATAATGAGGCATAAAAACATCATAGGATAGTAAGGCATAAAATGTCATAGTACATTAGGGCATAAAATGTCAACAAACGTCATAGTATAATGAGGCATAAAAACATCATAGGATAGTAAGGCATAAAATGTCATAGTACATTAGGGCATAAAATGTCAACAAACGTCATAGTATAATGAGGCATAAAAACATCATAGGATAGTAAGGCATAAAATGTCATAGTACATTAGGGCATAAAATGTCAACAAACGTCATAGTATAATGAGGCATAAAAACATCATAGGATAGTAAGGCATAAAATGTCATAGTACATTAGGGCATAAAATGTCAACAAACGTCATAGTATAATGAGGCATAAAAACATCATAGGATAGTAAGGCATAAAATGTCATAGTACATTAAGGCATAAAATGTCAACAAACGTCATAGTATAATGAGGCATAAAAACATCATAGTATAGTAAGGCATAAAATGTCATAGTATAGTAAGGCATAAAATGTCATAAAAACGTCATAGTATAGTATGTCATAAAAAATCCTAGTATCATAAGGTATAAAAATGTAATAGTACAGTGAGGTATAAAATGTCAAATAAACGTCGTAGTATAGTAAGGCATAAATTTGTCAAAAAACGTCAAAATATAGTAAGGCATAAAAATGTCAAAAAATGTCATAGTATAGTAAGGCATAAAACGTCATAGTATAGTAAGGCATAAATTTGTCAAAAAACGTCAAAATATGGTAAGGCATAAATTTGTCAAAAAATGTCAAAATGTAGTAAGGCATAAAAATGTCAAAAAACGTCATAGTATAGTAAGGCATAAAACGTCATAGTATAGTAAGGCATAAATTTGTCAAAAAACGTAAAAATGTAGTAAGGCATAAAAATGTCAAAAAACGTCATAGTATAGTAAGGCATAAAACGTCATAAAAACGTCATAGTATAGTATATCATAAAAAATCCTAGTATCATAAGGTATTAAAACGTCATAGTACAGTAAGGCATAAAATGTAATAGTATAGTAAGGCATAAAATGTCAAAAAACGTCATAGTATGAGGCATAAAAACATCATAGTATAGTAAGGCATAAAATGTCATAGTATAATAAGACATAAAATGTCATAAAAACGTTATAGTATATTATGTCATAAAAAATCCTAGTATCATAAGGTATAAAAACGTCATAGTATAGTAAGGCATAAATTTGTCAAAAAACGTCAAAATATAGTAAGGCATAAAAATGTCAAAAAACGTCATAGTATAGTAAGGCATAAATTTGTCAAAAAACGTCAAAATATAGTAAGGCATAAAACGTCCAAAAAAAGTAAGGCTTAAATAAGTCAAAAAA